GACACCACCTGGGCTGAGTCCCGGAATGTTCCCTGGGTAATCCCAGCCTGTACCTACTTTTCAGTAGGACTGCTCTCTCTTTTGAGGTGCCTGTCTCACACTCCTTGTGCCTAGAGTGGTTTTATTTCTCTCTGATTTTTGTTCTCTCAGAGAATGAAGAAGCCATCTCTTGTTTCTGCTTAATAACAGCTGAGGAATGAAATGCCAGTCAGTGGTGGGCTTTGAGGCTCCAGTAACTGGTTCTGTGGAGCTGAGACTCTCTGGTGCCCTCAGGGTCTATGGAAGTCTCTACTATGTGGAGAACAGAGGGCAAATAGGAAAGGAAAGAAAACCTTGTGCCCTTTTGTTTAATGCCCCAATAGGATAGGACTTTTGACCCCAGCTTTCAGAGAGAGGCATCTGGTGTGCTGCATGAGACCCTCTGGGGTGACTGGCTTAGGGCTTGGGCTAGATAAATGCTGGTGGTTGCTAATGATATGAAGCCTCACGGCTTTTCCTAGGCACTTGAGGTACCCAGGAATTCAGTGTTTTTTTGGACACTGAGCTCCCAGACTCTTCACTGCCTTATAAACTCCACCAGGCCATTCTGCACACCTGAAGTCTCCCAACACCCCATAGGAGACTGAGTCGCTGGCCAACAAGGACGAGAAGTCAGGCCAGGAAAAGCAGCATGCAGGGTCCAGACAGGGGGTTGGGCACCACAGTGAGCCCTTCTCAGAGGAGCTTTAGCGGGTGGGGGGACTCCTTAAGCTTCAGTGTGCTTTGAAGGTGTCTTTATTTCTGGGAAATTTTCCTCCATCAGGAAAGGGCAGCCCTACCCGGGCAGGTGAGCGGGCACAGGAAGCCCTTGAGGGAGCAGGGCAGTCCTCAGCCAGCGGAGAAGAACCTGGAAACTCCAACTCCCAGCCAGGGAGAGGTGGGACCAGGGACTGCTTGGCACCCAGCGCTCCGCGGCCCCGCTGGCGGGAATGAGCCGCCAGCGCGGCCAGGGTCAGGGTCAGGGGCTGACCCCAGGAGGAGGGCGCCCGCCCGCGTCGGGGCGTCGGGGCGTCGGGGAGGGGCGGGGCCTGGAGGTGGGGCCGCGGGGGCGGGGGCGGGGGCGTGGAAGGGCCGGGGCAGAGGCCGGGAAGAGGCTGACAGCCAGCCAGGTCTGCGCCGCGCAAGGGTGGCAGAGACGCCGAAGGCTCGCGAGGAGGTGAGGAGGGGAGAGCCGCCGGGGGAGGCAGCTGGACGGGCCGAGTGGGCGAAGGAGCGGCCCCAAGGCCACGTGTGTGCGCGCCTGCTTCAAGGCAGCCCCCTGGAGCCTCTTCACCGAGGGGTCTCGGGCCTCAGTTTCCTCCTCTGTGGCTTTCTGGCCCCAGACCACCTCTCCAGGCAGGGCTGACCCCGAGGGTCGCCCCTCTGGCGGCCGCGATCAGGGGTTGAGGTAGGGATCGGAAGGTCTGGGAGGGAGGACTTAGGAAGACCCCAGGAAAGAGGCAAAGGAGGGAGAACCTGCTTGAAGAGAGCGGAGGGCCGGGCCGAGGTGGAGACCCCCGCTTCTGGGGACAGCGGTGGGGCTGTGGGCAGCGGCAGCCCCAGTGCAGGGAGGGTTAAGCATCCTGAGTCCCGCCCGCCCTGGGCCCTCCCACGTGTTTACGTTCTCCCAAAAATATTCAGCCTCTGGCGGGTCTCGGTTAGGAGCTCCAGTCCCTGCCCCTCCCCCGCTGTTGGCCTGGGACGCGGGGCGGGGCGGCGACCTTTGGCAGCCGGGAGATTCCGGGCTGGGAGCGGGAGGAAGAAGGGTCTGTCGGGGAGAGCCTGGGGACAGCCTGGACAGAGGGGAGGGGAGGGGGCGGATAGAAAGGGCGCTGAAGGGTGGCTGTGGCCACAGGACTGCTTCCCAGGCTGCTGGCCAGGGAACCCTGGTAAAACGTTACAGGCCCCGACAAAGGTGCGCAGCAGGGTGGGAGGCACCAGGTGGACACCAGGGGCGACTCAGGGAAAGGCCATTTCCCCTGTTCCTCCACCTCTTCCCAGAGTTCTACAGGCATAACTGTGAGGAGCAGGGCAGGGTAGGAGGAGCCCTGGCTGGCTGGAGAGCTGAAGACCACACACCCTCTTTCCAGGGCCCCGGGCAACTGAGGTGACGCCATGTGGCAGCTGCTTATCCCGCTGGCCCTGTGGCTGGACTCAGTGGGCTTGGGCAGGGCCGAGCTCACAGGGGTGCAGCGCAGGGCCCTACAGGTGGCCCTGGAGGAGTTCCACAAGCACCCATCTGTGCAGTGGGCCTTCCAGGAGACTGGCGTGGACAGCGCTGTGGACACGGTTAGTGGCATGGCCTTGGTCTGGCAGGGAGGTTGAGGGCTGCACCTCAGGGGGACCCGCACATTCCCAGGAAGCTTTCCAGAGAAAGGCCACCAGCCTAGGTCACATTCAGGAGCCTTGTTGCCCACTCAGCTACCCATTGAGCTTCCTGTCTGTCTGTCCGCAGCCCTTCCCAGCGGGCACCTTTGTGAGGTTGGAATTTAAGCTCCAGCAGACAAACTGCCGGAAGAAGGACTGGAAGAAACCAGAGTGCAAAGTTAAGCCCAGCGGGGTGAGTGAAGATGTGTGTGTGGGGGGGGCACAGATTGCACCCTTGTGTGGAACTGGGAGGTCCAGTGTGAAGCCCTGAAGACAGAGCCTTCCTAGAGGGGCAGGGCTCAGTGTATGCTCAAGGTTGTGCCTCCAAAGGGCCCACAGGCAGGGAAGGGATGGGTGGGTTGGAGAGGGAAGGATTATCCTCATCAGCACTCACATTGGAGTCTCTCAGTCATCAGTAGAAGCCCTGGTGTAGCTTGGCACCATGGTGGATTCATAGCAGGGTTTCACAGTAATCGGTCATCTCCTGGGCAAAGCCACTGTTGTTGGCCATCCCTGGGGTGGGGGGTGCTGTCTTCTGGTTCTGGCTCCTGTCTGGGAGGGAACACCAACCTTGGGCTGTATGGATTCTGTAAAGGCCTCAGTTACCTTCATCTACTAAGAGGGGGGCATTATATCAGTGATTTTCAAACCTTTTGTTTGGCCTTAGGACACTTTTGTTCAAATCCAATCTAAAAAAATGTAAATAAACAGAATAGACAAAAAGCCAAGTGGTCTGGTGGAAGTCAGGTGGAGAGAACCCCTCTGGGGAGGATTCTTGCCTTTATGCTCATTCACATGCCACACAGCCATGCATGTAATTGCACTTGTATGTGCACTCATGCACATAGGCACACACTCATCTGGGAAGGATTCCTGTTTATATACATGTCAAATTTCCATAATTTGAAAACTGGGAAATCCCAGCAACTCAGAGGTTGCAGGATCAAAAGTTCAAGGGCAACCTCAGTAATTTAGAAAGACCATCAACAATTTAGCAAGACCCTGTCTCAAAATAAAAAAGAAAAAGGACTGGGGATGTGACTCAGTGGTAAAGCACCCCTCGGTTCTATCCCCAGTGAAAGGAAGGAAGGAAGGAAAGTGAGATTGACTTCTTAAAATATCCTGGGCCTGAAACCAGCATAATCTCTTGTCCCTTACTCTGGGACTTGACAGGGGAGCTGGTCTCCAGAGGACAGCTCCCAGCCTCCCCCCCCACCGTGCTCCTGGTGCCCCATGCCCCCCTCACCCTTTTTCTTTCTTCCCTCCATGCTTCCCTCCCCAGAGGAAGCGAAAATGCCTGGCCTGCATCAAACTGAACTCTGAAGATAAAGTTCTGGGCAGAATGGTTCACTGCCCTATACACGCGCCAGGACGACAGGTAAGAGGCAAAGAGGTTGGGAAGGGGGCGGAAAGATGGGCTGAGGCTGGGTCTGAGGGAGAGCAGAGGAAGTTTGGATGAGAGGGAGGAGGGGCAAAAGGGCATAGTTTAGACATTTCCTGGGGGTGTGAAGGTGCTGCCAGTACTACTGGCAGTTGCCTGAATTGTTGTTGGCGCCGGCAGGAGCCCCAGGAACACCAGGAGACCCAGTGCAGCAGGGTGGAGCGGGCCGGCGAGGACCCTCACAGCTACTACTTCCCAGGACAATTTGCCTTCATAAAGGCGCTGCCCCCCAGCTGAGCCCTGGACTGGTAGGCAGCCAGGGGGCAGGGATAGCCCTTGGGTTGGAGATGCTGCTGCTGGACTGTGGGAGAAGGGGAGGGGATGGATTAGAGCCTGGAAGGAAGCTGGGCCTCCCTCACCCACCAGAACCTCAGAGCGAACCTCAGAGCGTCCGTTGTTTGTAGAATTTCATCCCACTTCCTGCACAGCTGGGCTTGCTGCCTCGTGAAAGGCCTGCCCTCTTAGGCAGAAGATCTGCTCACATCCTGGGCTAATAAAACTGCTCTCAGACCCTGTTCCCTCTGCTCCTTATGTTGCCCCTGCCCTCGGATCAACCTGTAGGAGGCCAGCAGAAAGAGGGCAAGCTGGGTGTGTGTGCACAGGCACACTGGCCCCTCCTGCTGGACACCTGGACACCTAGACACCAGCGGCTCCGTGGAGCCTGTTGTGCAGGACCAGAGGCAGAGGGGGAAAGAGCAGACTCACGGACACACAATAATGTGAATGGACACAGAGCCATTTAATAGAGTTGGTGGGTGAGAAAGGGGGAGGACTTGGCCAGGAACCACAGAGGACAGTCATCTGGATAGGCAGATTCAGAAGGTGGGTGGGCTCCAGCTTTCAGTAATGTTCTGGCACTCTGCTCTGCCTGAAATAGCTGGGCTGCTCACCCCTGCCTTTCTCACCAGTAGCCTTGGGAAGAAGTATCCCGTCCACTAAGTCTCAGACTGGAGCAACCAGGAGTGGCCCCTTGCCTGGTGCACAGTCTGTGTGCCACCTGCTGGAGGTCATTTAGGAGATGTGTCCCTCCCTGCTATATGTGAAGGGAGGGCAGGGAAGTTTTCATGGGGGGGGGACTACCCTCGGGACAGGAATAAGTGAAGGCCCAGTTCCTAAGGCCAGTGACCAGCACAAGAAACCTCAAAGACAATGCAGAGGGAAAGGAGGTGTAAGCAGAGGGCCATCTGCTAGGCTGCCCTGGGGTGATATTGGCGGGGAGCACTTTCAGAAAACAAAGGAAGAAGTAGTGCCCGCAGGACTGAGTGCCTGCTCGGCCCTGGCCAGGCTCTCACTGGCCTGGCGGTCCAGGTCGCAGCACTCTTGCAGTGTGTCCTGGAACTGCCGGCAGGCCTCCTCCAGGATGGAGCTGCTCCGGGTGGGCCACAGCTCCCAGTACCCAGGCTCCACCCAGGGCTGGGCTTCCATGGCTCTGGGGCCTGGGCTGGAGCTGGGGCGCAAGGAGCTCTCCAGGTCGCGGCACAGCTGGTAGAGCTCACTGCCACGCCCACTCACGCGCTCCCCATCGATGACCTTCAGGCCGGGCAGCAGCTCCCTGACCGCAGCCCAGTAAGAGGGGCTGGCACACAGAGGATTGCTGAGCCGGGCCAAAGGGTCCCGGAGCCGCAGGTACTCCAGGCCCCGGAGCCCAGACAGACACTGCAGCTGGCCAGGAGTGGCCAGCAGGTTGCCTGCAGCATTGAGACTCTGCAGGTTTTCGCAGGTGGCCAGTGGCTCCAGCCCGGTCAGGCGATTGTTGGACACATTGAGCACAGCCAGCTGGCGCAAGGAGGCCAGAGGGCCGAGCTGGGTAAGTGCGTTGCCTGAAAGGTCCAGCCACTCGATGCCCAGGCACTCCCCCAGGCAGCCCAGGTCGGCCAGCCCCAGGTCTCGCAGCTTCAGCAGCAGGATGGACTCCAGAGCAAACTCGCCTGTGCGGGCCTTCAGCAGCTGGGGCGTGATGCGCGGCCCCTCAGCCTCTCCTGGCTGCTCACCTGGAGGTTCCATGGGACAGCTGGCTTGGATGATCTGGGCCTTGACAGGTCGTCACAGGGACATGGACACCACTGGGTCCGCTGGCTGCTCGCCCCCAAAAGGCACCCTCCACTCTCCTTGGGCCTGTTTTGATACACACCTGGAGGGTGCGCAGGTCCCTAAGGAGAGACACACAATTAGACATCTCCAGAGCACTTACTGTGACCTCTGCAGCAGGTGACAGAAGACACAAAGGCTGTCCCATCAGTCTTTACCACCAGAACCAACAAATCAACAGCCAAATAAGACCTAAAAACCAAGGCCTGAAGATAGGCCATGACAGCCCAGCCTAAGGACAGCAGCCCCAGGTCACCCTGTGAGTTAGGGCCACACTGCACAGAATTCAGGCCCAATGTCACCTGTTCCATCCACTGGGGTAGGGCACAGTGGCCCATCCCTGTAATCACAGCTACTCAGGAGGCTGAGATAAGAGGGTCTCAAGTTCAAGGCCAATGTGGGCAACTCAGTGAGACCCTGTCTCAACAGAAAAAGGGATGCAACTTGTAGTAGAGTACATGCCTGGCATGCCTAGCAAAGCCTGTGCTTCCATCCCAGCACTGCCAAAAAAAAAAAAAAAAAAAAGTTGGACTGGGGGCAAAAATCTCAATTTTCTCTTTTCAGTAACCACTCATGATACATCATTATCAGTCGTGAGGTATTCATTTTTTAAATGTCAAATTTATTTTTGACTAGATAATAGGAGGCCACCATCACCAATTTCTTATGTTTCCTTCTTGGGACAATGATGCACGTGAAAAACCAAATAAGCACACTGTACCTTGTTTCATTCACTTAAAATGTTTCCTGAGACATTATTACCCTATATACATGCCTATTTACATGTATGATCACACTACTGGTGTGGCTGTGCACCAGGTCCAGCCAGAGGAAGGAGAAGCTGTGTTCATTTGTGTACAATGTGTCAGAATGCATTCTACTGTCATGTATAACTAATCAGAACAAATAATAAAATAAAATGTTAGGGCTGGGGTTGTAGCTCAGTGGTAGAGCGCTTGCCTATCACGTGTGGGGCACTGGGTTTGATCCTCAGCACCACATATAAATAAAGATATTGTGTCCATCTATAACTAAAAATATATATATTTTTAAATGTTATCTGAGCCAGGCACATGGCACATGCCTGTAATCCCAGTGACTTGGGAGGCTGAGGCATCAGGTTCACAAGTTTCAAGTCAGTCTGGGCAACTTAGTGACACCCTTTCTCAAAAAGGGCTGGGGATGAAGCTCCATGGTAGAGTGACCCTGAGTTCAATCCCCAGTACAAAAAAAAAAGGAAAGGGTTCCCAGATTTGGGGGCCAATTCCCCACCCTCTGGCTGGAGCTGCAGGGCCTGAGGAGTTGGCTTTTAATCCTAGATGAGGGCAAAACCTGAGGTCAAGGGAGGGGAGGCCCAGGGAAGCTGAGGTGAGCTAGGTATGGTTGCTCTCCACCCACTGCACCCCTGCCCACCCAAACCAGTTCTGACATCAGCTGGTCAGATCAGCAGACCAGCACTGATCACTGTGCCAGACAGCCCAGTGCCGGCTGCAAAGATGACATCATTGCGCCAAAGGCAAGCTGGGGGAGGCCAGAGTCTTGGAGGGAGGTATGGTGGGAGGGGTGGTCAACTCAGCTGGCAACAAAAGGTGGGGGAGGGCACATTAAATCAGCAGTGACCATGGGACAGGGAGCCCAGATGCTCGTGCAGCATGAGGAAGGCAGCCTGGGGGCAGGGCCGATGGTGCTGCTGCCCACAAAGGGTCAAGGTTTAGGCAGAGAAGAAAACAAGAGCAGACCTCTGCTCTGTAAGTCAATCCCAACCCTCCAGACTCTTGGCAGGCCAAGGGCAGGTGACGCCTGCAAAGGAGATCATGGCCCCTGCTGCTGAAGGACCTGGGGTGAAGGGCACTGGAACTCCCAAGTACGCAGGATCAACACCACTGATTATGTCCCTCTCCAGGGAATCCGGGCCCAGAGCCCTGGCCATCAGCTCTTCCCACCCAACCAGCAAAGAGCTTTTTTTTTTTTTTTGGTACCAGGGATTGATCTCAGAGCCATTCGACCACTGAGCCACATCCCCAGCCCTTTTTTGTATTTTAGAGATAAAATCTCACTGAGTTGCTTAGACCTCACCATTGCTGAGGCTGGCTTTGAACTTGTGATCCTCCTGCCTCAGTCTCCAGCTGCTGGGATTACAGGCGTGCACCACCGCACCCCGGCATAGCAAAAAGCTTTTTAAAGGACTCCCACCAGGGAGTCAGGAGACTGAATAGATCTTGTCCTCATTACACCTGTTCCTCACCTAGTCCCCCAGCCCGCAACACTCCAGTCTGTTTTGTTGTTGTTTGAATTTCTAAATTCACACCTCATTTCTTTCCAAAAGGACTGGCAGTCATCCCTTGCAAGTGTGCATCCCCTCAACACGAGTGGGGTGGGGCATGTGAACAGAGGGTGATGCAGCCACTTCACATCTGAAGGAAATGGCCCTGGCCCATAGAGGGGGATGCAGGACAGCATCAGTGCATATGGTAGAAAAGAAACATGGAGACCCAACCCCAATGAAGATACAGAGTGACAGGGAGGGGAGAGGCCAGAACATTTGGCGATCTGGCTAAGTGACTGGCAGGGGCCTCTCAGACAAGACATAGAGGGGACACAATGGGATGAGAAGACCTCCAACGGGCTGGGTAGTAGAGCACTTGCCTAGTATATGCGAGACTCTGATTTCAGCCCTCAGCACCACAGGGGGAAAAAAAAGACTTCCAGTTCCACACAGTGTGAGGGACTGGGTGGCATCAGGCTGCACACACTAAGTGTGAGGGATGGTGTGGCCTCAGGCTCCAGAGGCAGCTGGATGAATGGCCTCAGGCGTTTTCAGTAGGAGGGGGCAGCCGGCATAAAGGAGGGTGTACAGTACATGGGGCTAACCTTCCGGAGGACACTTGAAATCTCTCTGGGCATCTCTCCATGGAAGTGCACTATCCGGGGATGGTGATTAGGAAGCCATGGTCAGTGAGAGGACAGAGGTCAAGGGCTACTTGAGTGAGGCTGGGAGGACAATTCGAGGCCTTAAAGGAGCGACAGCACAGTACTGGCCACGCCTGCTGAGCCTGGACAAGATGAGGCCGGACGTGGCTGGGGGCTGGGCAGTCGGTCTCGGGGGCACTGGAACCAAGACTGGCAGAGGGCTAAAGAGGGAGTCCCCTGAGGGACTGGGGCAAGGCCCTTTTCAAGGAGGACCGGCATTGAAGAAAGCGAGAGCCAGGGTAGAGGGAGATACCAGTGAGAAGCCGACGTGGTGATGGATCACCACCTTAAAGCCGTGAGGCCATTTGCAGAGAGGAAACAGTTATAGAAGAGGGAACAGCGAAGAAGAAAGGCCCAACTGGGTTAGGAATTTGGCCTTCCCTGCCCCAAAGTGCGCCTAGGTGAGACACATGCCTGCCAGAACCTAGCTCGGCCCCAGTGCCACCTCGTCTAGGCTTTAGCAGCTGGACATATGGCTGTGGTCAGAGCAAAACCGATTCTCATGGGGCCACAGAGTGCTATTGTGCTCCTGATCACGGACCAGGTGGCCCTCGGCAAACTCAGGACCATCAGTGCCCACCCATGCGTGCAGTGGACAGAGGTGCAGCAGAGAACGGCTCTGTCCACGCACAACTGCTCCAACCTTGTCTCTGCAAAGTGGCAGCCATCCTGTCCTGGTGACAGAAATGAACCATCCTCTGGGCCCAGCAGCAGGCAGTCTATAAGAGGATTGGGTGACATGGACACTCGGGTCTCCTGAGGAAGGCTGACTGTGAACAAGGGAAGATGAGCCCATTGCCCTACCAAGTCTCAGTTCATCTTTCTAGGAAACAGGACCAGAAAAAACAATGCTCATGGAGTGAGCTTGGACAGAACAGAGCCAAGTCTAAGGAGAAGTCCTTCAACCCTGAGCAGGCTCAGAAGTCACTCAGTGGCTTAAGTGACCTGGGAGCCTTCCTCCACCCATTTCCCTCTCCAAAGGCTCCACGGAGGCCTTCTTCACCTGGGTGTTATTGCTCGGGGCAAGGTCTTTGCTGTGGGCCCTCATGCATCGGCAACAACCCTAGCCTCTGCCCACTAGACACCAATAGAACCAGCCCCCTCCCCCAGATGTGACAACCATAACAGTCTCTGGATATTGCCAATGTCCCCCAAGAGACATAAATGCCCCCAGTGAGAAATAAGGTTCTGGAGTCCAAGCCTCTGAGCTCAGGACCACAGTAGTTCTCATCTTCTTCCTCCCACCCACCTCCTTCCTCCCCCCATTGTGCCCCCAGCCTGGCTTCTCCATCCTCTCTGAGGACACTGGGGAGTCTGTTTAGTGCTGGCACACAAAATGAAGAATGGCAGTTCAGCTCAACCTGCTGTCCCTTAGGGCAACTTCACGTGAAACCACCCTGCCCTGTCCACTGAACCAGGGTTTGCAGGGGAGGTACGGGACTGCAGGCAGGGTTCTGGGAAGGTCTGGGGCATACCCCGCCCTCAAGAACAAAATACCCTGATTCCTAGCAGGGGACATTAAGAATATCCCTTTACAGCCACCACCCCTCCCTCAACAAGCCTTACCTCCTGCGGGGAAGCCTGTGAACACCCCCTTCCATAGGTCCCCATTGGAGTGCTATGGGCAGGGAGGACAGCCAGGCAATACGGAGGCCAATCTGGAATTCAAATCATGACACTCCAGCCATTAAATATGGTGTTCACAAAGCTTTATTTAAAGGATGCAATTGTTATAGCCAAAATGAAAATACTGCATATTAAACAGCTCATAGGGTATGACCTCAATATAAAAAAGGGACCATATCAAACCACTGAGATAGACTCTCTGAGTGACAAGATTATGGCTAACTTTCCCTGCTACCTTATATTTTCAATAATTTATTAATGTCACAGTGAAATAAGCTGATAATCTATCCAGGAAAGGCCACTGGACAGGCTTCCACAGCTGGCAGTCCAGCGAGGGGATGGTTTTGAGTGTGCACCTTTTTTCTTCCAACCCATCTTAGTGACCACCTTGCCCAGAACTCTTCTGTCCAACCCCACTGGGTTCCTGGATCCCAATCCTCAGGTCCTATATTTGGTCCTACAAGAACTCTGGGAAATCTGTTATTAGCAGGCTTCACACATACCTTTCTCTTATAAATAAGGGATCTGCAGGACACAAGTGGCCAGGGAAGGGTGGAATGTAGACTCGGTCATGTATCAGCAAGAATGACCTGTTGAGGACTGGGGGAGCTCAGTTCTTGGTGCAAGCTGGTTAGTTCCACCCTCGGGAGCTCTCTGGCCACTCTGGGATTCCCAAATCTGGTGTTTATTGCGCACATGCAGTGTAGGCACCTGCCTCCTGAGACGGCGACTCTACCTTGAGGTTCCTTCCTACAATGAAAGGAGCCTCAGGAGAGCTGCAGGAGTGTGTGTGTGTGTGTGTGTGTGTGTGTGTGTGTGTGTGTGAGTGTGTGTGAGGGGGATGCTGAATTCATACCCTACCTCTGGGCCCTGATAACTGTTTAGGAAAGCCTACCCACTTCTTTTTTCCAGAACTGAGGATTGGACTCAGGGCTACTCTACCAATGAGCCATATCCCTAGCCCTTTTTTTATTTTGAGACAGGGTCTCACTAAGTAGCTGAGGCTGACCTCAAACTTGCAATCCTCCTGCCTCAGACTCCTGAGTCACTGGGATTACAGGTGTACATGACTGTGTCTGGCATGTTAGCTCTTCCATGCATACTGCTGAACATAAATGGATCAACATAGGCCTGGAAGATGACTTCAGAAAAGAATATGGCAACCTGTCAAGAACCAAGAAGCTGTCCCCATCCTTATTGCACAGGCTTAAGCAGATGTCCTCTGCCCTTTGTGGCTGCAGGGTTCCCTGAGGTTTTGAGGTCAGCAGACTATTGGGACACCTTCAAGCTCCTGAGCTCCTGGAACCTACTAGCACACACCCAAGTCTGCCCACCCCAGCACAGCAGATAGGCTATAGGGCCTGCTCCTGCTCAGCAGGGTCAGTACTGGAGCAGTTGAAGGGTGGTGGGGTGTAGTTGGGGAAGCTCTCCAGGTTGGTGTTGAGGAAGAGGAGCTGCTCCACAGTCTCCATTTTGAGCGGGGAGCCCTTTTCTGTGATGATGGGGCTGTTCAGGGCACCAAAGACATTTTCAGAGAAGGCTCTTGTGGGCGGGCAAGACAGATAGACTGTGGCCAGCTGGGTCAGAGCTGGCCAGGTTTTACGTTTCTTCTCCCAGTAATACAATGGGTCCTCCTGAGCCCCGATGGTCTCGTTCTCTCGCAGGTACCGGCTGACAATGATGCTGGCTATGTGATTCTCAGTGGACAGCGAGGCCCCGCTGCTTTCTGAAGCCATCAGTCCCACGCTTTCCAGTTGCTCCAGCAAGGTCTTCTCCCTCTGGATGACCAGGAGAGAGCCAGACTCGCTGCCTTTCTGCAGAGGCTCCTTCTGGCCCTTCTTCTGGGCTCGTGGGCCCTTGGCTACTTTGTTGGTGTTCACTCGAGAGCTCCTGGTGCGCTGCAGGGAGCCTGAGGTGGGCAGGGAATACTGGGAAACCATAATTTCCTTCACCTTGTACACAAGGACTTGTTTCCAGTGATCAATGTCAGCCCCTACGGGCAGGATGGCCTCAACCTTGCCCTTAAACCGGGGATCCAGCAACGTGGCCAGCACGAATTCCTCTCGGTAGAAGAGATCGTTGAGCTTACAATCTGTGGAAAGCTGCAAGGCCAAGCCCTCAGCCAGCCGCAAGGCCGCACCCACCTCCCCAACTCCCTGCTTCTGGAAGTGCCGATGCACCTGTTCTAGGAAGATGTGCAGATAGCGCACCTGGGGCAACACCTGGCTTAAAGAGGCCTGTTCTGTGCTGGCCTCACGGATCACCATCTGGAAGGGCTGCAGGAGCTTGACCAGACTGTCTGCCAGGCTCCAAAACATGGCTGAGAGGGCAGTGCTGGCCTTGCCTGGCTGCTGTTTCTCCGAGTACTCCTGCAGGGCCTGCTGCTGCTCCACCAGCCATTCCATCAGGTGGTAGGCTGAGCTCCAGTGGTCTGAGAGCTCCTCGAAGGGCTGCTGGGCTGGGAGGCCACACTGGTGCTGGAGCTGGCTAAGGAGATTCCGGGCCTCTGCGGAGCCTTGGAAATGGCTGTAGATGGCCCTGGCTGTGCCCAGGATAATCTGGACGCTATGATGGTGACACAGAAAGTTGTTCACCACTGAGTCAAGGTAGTGGGCAAAACAAGGGATGAGGGTGTACCCCTCAGCCTGCAGGGCCAGGTCCAGGTCAGGGCAGCCACCAGACACCAGGAAACCTGCTCTCAGGGAGCCACGGCCCAACCACAGGTTAATCTGATCCAGCAGCTCGGGCTGCCTGTCCTCTGTCGCTCTTTCCAGGCCTCGGACCCAGAGCAGGGCTTTCTTCCTCAGGCTCCCCGATACCCCAAGCTTGCTGCCTGACTGTGCCACCACCCAGTGGGCACTGACAGCCACATAGTTCACCATGGAGTCCTGGGTCAACATAGAGGCTGTGAGGTGAACATGGCCCTCCTCTGCCCACTGCATCTCCTGAAGAACTTGCTCACCCACAGCCTCGTGGAGCAGGGGCAAGGCTTTGTCGCGGAAGAATGCTGGGGAGGGCAGGTGGTAGCGAGGGTCCACTTGCGCCATGAACCTCTTAAAGGGTTTGGAGGAAACAAAGGAGAAGGGCAAGGCCAGGCTGCATAGCAGCTCTGTGATGCTGTGGTTCCAGGTCTCCGTGTGGGGTTGTTCAGGGGCATTTGTGTCATTAGGCCTGTCCTTGACTGCAACAGGGAAAGCAGGCAGGGGTGACGAGGACAAAAGTAGCTGGTCAGGTCTGTCCAGGCCTGGCTCTCTGCTACGTTGTCCCAAGAACACAGTGTCTGGGTGGTGTACGGGCACCAGTTGCCCCCTTGAGGCAAAATTGGCAGCATCCATGGGCAAGGCCTGTAGCTGTGCCTGTTCCATGTCCTCTACCCCCTTGCCAGGGCTGCTGGTAGCTAGCCCTCTCTCCCACTCTAGCCCATGCTGGCTAGCCAGGTGATGGACGAGGCCTGAGGCTTGCGACTGCCCCTCAGTTTTGCACGGTCTGACACTGACATGACACAAGGTACAGAGGACTCGGCAGCTGTTCTTTAAATCAATGGTGAAGAACTGTCTGATGTCCGACACGGGTGTCAGACCCGTGGCACGCAGAAGGCCTGCGGAATGCGGGGAAGAATTCAAGCCCTGATTTTCTGTTTTCTTAGCTCTAACCAACTTTTTCAAGCAGGGGGTCTCCTGAAGGTTCAGCTGGGGCCCCAACTTCTTCTTTACTACAGGATGAGAACGCTTTTTCTTCCCCTTCTTGGGACGTTGCCACGCCTCTCTGGCCAGATGCACAGTGAGGTCAGCTGGCACCGCCTCCTCATTCAGGAGCCCAGCTGGCACCGCCTCCTCATTCTCTCTTGACTGGTTGGCCTCCAACCTTTCAGGACTGGTCATTTGCAGGGATGGGGGTTGGGGCTGAACCAGAGCTAGGGTAGAGGGGGCAGCTCTAGCACCACCCAACAAGGACCTGGCCTTCCGTCCTGCCGTCTCTCCTTCCTCTGTGCACCCACATGCCTTCCGCTTCGACACTTTCCTCTTCTCGGGCTGTGTGTGGGGCTCCTGCCCAGGCACAGGTCTGAGGCCCTGAATTCCAGAGTCTGTCTTTGGTTTATTCTGCTCAGAGCTAGCCTGGCACTCTGCCTGGGAAGTGGCAGGGTGACGACTAGGCTTCCTCACGGGGTGGGTTTTTCTCTTCCCGCAGGAGGAAGGTAGGCCAAAGGCAGTTTCTACCTGCTTCTCCTGGAAAACTTGGCCTGGGTCAGATGAAGGGACCAACGTACCAGTGGGTGGGGGCCAGGAGCTGCTCCTTTGCAGAGACAAGTGCCTTTCACGTTTCTTTTGGGAGCCGAGGAATAGGACTTTCCTCCTGTGGCCACTGCCAGCATTTTCTTCTCTGTACGTAGACTCCAGCTTGACTTCAGTCTGTGGCAGGCCAAGTCCACGAGAGATACTGGTGGCTATGGTTTTGAAGTCAGAGCTGGCACAAGCCAAGGTGGCAGCTGGGCTCTTGGGTCTGGCCACAGGGCGGCTGGCACGCACAGAGGGCTCCTTTCCCACTAATCTGGAGGGTATCTGCCTCTTGCGGGACTTTTTGCTTTTCTCCATTTCTATTATGCTTGGGAACTTGGCGAAATGAGAAGACAGGCCCAGGCTGCAAGGCAAGATGAAAAGCACAGTTCTCACTGTCCCCACCTAACTCTGGGGACCACTGAGGGGAAGGGGAGGCCCAGACAGGACAGGAGAAAGAAGGTCAAGAGACAAGTGGCGAGGCACAGCAAGAGAGTGAACTCAGGCCCAGGACCAACTCCCCAGGCCACGAACTCCCAGGTGAAGAGCAACTTTCACTCCTCTAGCCAGACAGGGCACTCCGGAGGCTGGTCCCCACGGCCCTCTGCACATGACAGGCTTCTGTGTGCATCTTCTTTGCCAAACTGATGGACTTTCCCCTTTTTTCTTTCAATGTCTGAGAACACAGGAGGCACGTGATTTTTCTTTTCTTTATATTTATTTTTTAGTTGTAGTTAGACACAATACCTCCATTTTATTTATTTTTATGTGGTGCTGAGGATCAAACCCAGGGCCTTGCACATGCTAGGCGAGTGCTCTACCACTGAGCCACAAGCCCAGCCCCACGTGGTGATTTTTTTATGGGGTGTAGTAGATACGAAGTAAAGTAGACCAGAGCCCTGTGTTGACTCACACAAGCAGAGCCATGCAGAAGGCAAGAAGTACCACGTGGACTGTGCGACCCACGGAAGGGAATGACCTCACCAACAAGTGCTGGCAGTTTTCCCAGGGGAGAGACTAGTAAAAGGGAGAGGGACTCCCAAGCTGTGTCTTGAAAACCTGGGCAGCAGGAGGGCACAGTAAATGTACAATGTGGCTCAAAATTTGTTTAAAAAAAAAAGGCAGCCTAGTGTCCTGAGCCAGAGGTGTTGCTGGTCAGCCTCCTGCAGAGACTATAGATGGAGCATCCCCAGTGCCCTCTCAAGCTCTTTCCTGTCACAGACAAACCTCCAGGAGGGCTATTTTCTCACCCCCCATTCCTTTCAATACCTGCTCCTCTAAGGGTCTTTCCCCTAACTCAATGGCTTTTCCGCAACCCCCCACCCCAACTTCCTCCTCTTGAAATGCCCTTTCCCCTCAGGTAGGAACACATTTTCTTGGTTTTCCTCCCACCTCAGGTGCCTTCCCAGTTTCTCTTCTGGTGCCTCTTCCTCTGGGTGTCCCCTGAGTAATGTTCCTCAGGCTGCCTCTCTGGGCCCACCGGCACCCAGGCTGCTCTGCTCTTCACCCAGGTCTGTCTGGGGATCAGGACTCTCTCTTAAGCTCCCCTCGCCTGCTCTCCCTGCGTGCCACTCCGTCTTGGTTACTGGGACACCCTGCCATCCAGATGCTCAAGTCCAAAACCTGGGTGTGATCTTCAATTCACTTTCCTGGGTGTTAGGTGGAGTTCAGGACTATGAAGGGACAAGACCCTCAGAAGTCAGAGGAGACACAGGAAGAGAGAAGAAAAGAAGACAGTAGAGGAGGAAGAGCCCAGTGAGCCAGGATGCACGTCCTTGTGATGGAGAAGACTCTGGGGAAGGCGACTTAGAAACCCACCCACAGCACCCGAAGTCAGCAGGCCTCATCTCTTCAGAGAAGATCAAGATGAGATTAAGAGGGAAGATGGAAAACCTAGACACCTTGACACTGAGTGCCGTCAAATATTACAGATCCCCGGAGATGGCAGGGCTGTATTTCACAGGTGTCAAGCCACCTGGCTCTGAGTCTCTGTCAGGAGACGATCCTTCCAGATAGCAGTCTCCAAGGCTAAAGAAGCAACACCCTCAAGCTTACTTCACAGAACTCAGTCATCCACCCAGACATCAAATGAACAAAGGCCCAGGTGAGGTGCCACGTGGGAGGCTGGATAACGTCGGGAATGACATACAAGATACTGTCTTGAACCCAGAAGGCTGCTTCCACATGTCAGCACTGGAAGGGACTTACCTCAGCTCTTGCTTCCTGACTGGAGACTGCAACCCAGACTGTGAGTTCAAACCTCCAGGAGTCTGTAGGCTATATCACCATCAACGAGGACACAGGGCACTAAAACCAGGCCATGGTATACAACCTGGTAGAAATGGGAAACACCTGTCTGTTAAGAGCTATAGCCCAGGGGCACACCCCAAAACCTTCACCCAAGATCCACTAGTGTACCTCAGGGTACCGATCCTGTTGCTTCCCAATTAGCTTTGTCCTATTAGGATGCTATACTCAGTGTATTCAACCTTTTAACAAAGATTCATGAAATACTCACTACGAGCCAGCATTAAGCCCTCAAGATAAAAAAATATGGCTGGGTGCAGTGGTACATACCTGTTATCCCAGTGACTTAGGAGGCTGAAGCAGGAGAATTCCAAGTTGAAATCAGCTTCAGCAACTCTGCAAAGCCCTGAGCAACTTAGCATGACCCTGTCTCAAAGTAAAAAAATAAAAAGGGCTGAGGATGTGACTCAGTGGTAAACTGCCCCTGGGCTCAATCCCCAGTACACAAATATAGGAGAATAACTGCCCTCGGGGCATTTGGGGTGAGAAACCAGTTCCAGTCTCTTAAATCAAATGGAGTAGCATTTGTATATGATCTACACACATCATCCCACATTCTTTAATCATCTCCGATTACCTATAATACTTGATATATGTAAATGCTATGTAAATAATTGCTAAGCCCTATTGTTTAGAACTAATTTTAAGAAAAAGTCTACACATGTTCAGGGCAGACACAATTTTTT